TACACACAACCAACAATCTGTATGTCTTTCCGCAAATTAAATAGATAAATATTTACCTGCCACCCAATCTAGTTGTAACAGGGAAGAATCCCTGGATGTGACAGACTTTTCCATCACTGCGATCAGTTAGGCTCTGGGCTCAAGCCACCCTCAAAAGATGTATCTCCCCCCTCCCTCCCCCAACACACACATATTTATAAATATCTTTGTTTGGGCCCGCCATGGTGTATTGGCTAGACGCTCGCCTGCTGGTCCGAAGGTCGTGGGTTCAAATCCGTACGCACCGGACTTTTGTTCATCATTGTTCTTGGCTTCCAGGTCGATCTAGCCCTAGATGGGTACCCCGTAAAATCATAGGAGGTAAAGGTGGTCGGCGTTTTGTTTACCACATCACTCACTAAGTGCCGTTTGGTTTATAACATTGTGACCCCGCTCTATAATACTGCCTTGCTTGTCCACTTTTTCAGCTTACTCTTTGTCCCCATGTTAATATTATCTTGTTACTTTTATCGATGTCTACTTCTTGATGGATGCCTTCAACCTTGACATCTCCAGTTTGAGTTTGAACATGACTGTTATTTCGTTGGTTATGCCAAAATTGACCCAGTCACTGAGAAGAGATCATCTGCAGACTGACTGCTATGGAAGTAGACAGTAAAAGATGGTCTGTCGCACGCTGCATAGCAAGCTAAAGAAAAGGGACGTCTCAGAGAAGACCAGCCTTGATATAACATAGTATCAACGTTTTTACGCTGTCTATGAGACAGAGACGGTGCATAGAACTTAACAGTTCGGGGCAGCGTTAGCGCAGTCGATAGAAGACTCGATTTCAAATCCAGCTGTGACTCGCTGTAGTCCACAGCTGGTGTTCTAAACCGGGCGGTTACCGGGATTCACTCAGCATTTAGATAATGGGTACCAGAGTTAACACCTAGGGTAAATGGAGGAACGTCGCTGTAGCTACGGAGTTGAGTGGGGTCGGCGACACAAGCGGACAGTTTCTTATCACCTGTTCGTACTGGTGGCAGAGCACTTATGGTTTATAACCGTGTGCAATGACGCTGGTTCACATCTCCTGACTTCACATTTACCTTTACTTCACAGTCATAGCAAACGTTTTTTCCCAAAATCCCTGGCACAGCTCCATAGTTCGTAGGGAGAGAATGTTGCCTACGTATTTAGTTTAATGTGACAGACATATTTCACTTGTTCAGCAGCTTTCTGTTCAGTCTAGTTTCTTCAGAACCTCTCTGTGTGTCATTCTGTAAGTCTTTGCGTTCTTGCCTATGTACTGTAATAGACTGTATTCATAGATGCCTATATTTAATTATCTGTATTCATATATATCTGTCTCTGGGAAGTTAACAATGTTAGCAACTGCTCGATTAAGTCGGATGTGTCGGCCGAAAGGCGCAAATATCGCAGCTTTGCTGTAAACAGGGACAGCCCATTTACGTCACTCGAACGAACGAAAAGAAGAAGAAGATACAGGATATATTTGTCTATGTTGGACTTGCTGTATTCAATGCAACGAAAAGACAACTTACCTTGGAATTAAATGATGGCATAGAGCGGAGAAATTTTCTGTCTGTGAGAATCAAATCTGCATATGCGATTTTCCACCACCACAAGTCTTTGTTACTGAATTTCTTCCAGCGCCTGTAGGACATCCAGACAACAGTAAACTTCAAGTGGCTGAGCGGCTAGACGTTCGATGCGGATCGGAAAATCGTGGGTTTGCTCCCTGGCGGGGCCGGACTATTTTCAAAAATGACCATGGCTCCCAGGTCGACCCAGCCTTAAGTGGGTACGGGGCGCAGTCCCGGGAAGTAAAGGCGGCCGGCGTGATGCTGACCACATCACCCATCTTGTGTCGATTGGTCTATAAAATATAGGTTACTACCTGTGTGCCATGATGTTGTTAGAACCTCAAAACCTTAAAGCTATGTCAACAAAGTAAAGGACCCTTTTCCACGCCTTTAGGTGTACAGGGCGTATAGTGAGTAACTAACATTACCATTGCATCTAAGAAGAAAGAAACATTTTTGAAGCATGTGTTTGTCGGCTCTGTGGCTAAGTCGATGCCGGAGTGCCGGGTTCGATCCCAGCTGCGGGCCATGCGCCTTGCGTTGGTTTCGACAGTGGTATCAAGAAGGCCGACCGTCCAGTGGCAATGGCCAACTCCTGGATGTAAATTTGCATAGAGAAACCACACAACAGCCAGTTTGGGTTGGTTCTGCAACGTCCTGAAAAAGATACGCAACAAGCTTTTTAGATGCATGTGTTTTCTAACCCATTTAGTACCAAATTGGTCCCGATACGTTGTTTGGTCATTTTAAAGATAACATAATGTTCTTGCTGTTGACTATCCTCATCATCATTATCAACATCATCATCATCATTTAGCAGGTTCTTTGCAGAATGTCGCTCCTATTATGGTCTGCATGAAACTAGGTCTCTATTCAACTCTCTAACCCCTGCTCTGTCCTAACCAAAAGAATCACCTATATCCTGTGCCTATCTTTATGCCGGCCAGTCCCACCTCTCATTCATGACACAATACCTTCTGCTGTTAAGTTTTCCAGTCCGCCGTTGCGCTTGATATAGTTAAAAAACGTTCAGTTCCGAGACAATTTGCTGTCTACTAGACTGTCTTTCTTGATGTTCAGATTTTTATGATGTATTTCCCAGACTATCAGACACATGTATTATATTATTCCTTTGTAGCTGAATTCTCTCCCTAACTACTATTGTCCTATAATGTCTGTTTTGAACCTATTCAGACATAAGAAGTCATTAATTTTCAATGCAGCTCCCTCGGACACAAGCCGTTACAATTTCATCAAACTGGTGATGACAGTTTATTATAAAAACTGGAAGCCATGGCAATGACATAGCTAGCTCACATGTCTGCTGTCACATTGTGCATTTGTTTGAATTTCATTCAAATTAGTTTTTTTTTTTTTTTTCTTTAAATAAAACCTAGATTACCAAGTCGACCAGTCTGTTAATCCTACTAGGAAATGTTCCTAGGAAGTTAAAGTGGTCAGCATAAAATGTATGCCCTACGAGTTTGGAGTGGTCTTAAAATATCTGGGTAGAAGAATATACTAAATAAGCCCTAACATACAAAATTGATCCTGTTTTAATAACTTCACCCCCCCCCCCCCAATATATATATATATATATATATATATTATATATATATATATATATACTATATATATATATATATATATATATTGGACATCAAAAATGACCAATAATAGAAAAGAAAAAACTGGCATATTATTTTTTTTTTACCACATTGCATTGTCATCCACAAACCGAGCGTGTGTAACATTTCACCATTACATCTTTTCAGAAAATAGTATATAAAACGAACGGAAACTGCCGCTCAGACTAGTTTAAAATTAATAAAAGCGTAAAAGAAGACCTATGCACAACGTATTTCAGGATCCCCGCCGGTGCTACAGAGTTAGTGCATTGAGCTGAGATTATTCGGCTTGAGTTAGAAGTAGAACGGAGCACTTATGGGTTACTAAACTTGTGCCACGATGTTGTTCCTTTGTATGAATTTGTCCGGCTAGCTAGTTCAGTTGATTAAAACCCTCTGCGCGGCGACCTGATAATAAACTTCTTGTGGTCCGGGGTCACGCTCGGAGGTAGATAGAAAAGTCACATTTCTCCCGGATTTACGGTATTTTTCATGGAATCAGGGCCGAAGGGTTGCGATATCCATAGTACTGAGCCAAAGGGTTAACAGCTCGTGGTTTATGAAAACTATGCCATGCAACGTTAATTATTTCTTCTTTTGTAGTCTCACTGATACCAGGTTGTAGCCCAGTGTCGTGGTTTTGTCGTCTCACTGATACCTGGCTGTAGCCCAGTGTCGTGATTGTGTCGTCTTATTGATACCTGGTTATAGCCCAGTGACATGGTTGTGTCGTCTTATTGATACCTGGCTGTAGCCCAGTGTCATGGTTGTGTCGTATTATTGATACATGGTTGTAGCCCAGTGTCATGGTTTTGTTGTCTCACTGATACCAGGTTGTAGCCAAGCGTCGTGGTTTTCTGCAATAGTTCTGCGCTTTTGGGTGATTCAGATTCTGGATTTGTTAATCTTTGCACAGTTTAGCTACACTTTTTTTTTCAACCGTTGACTTGCTCTTCTCCTTGCGTTCCTGCCAAAAATTCTTCTGTAGAAGGTCAGGTTAGTTGGCTGTTTGGTAACCGTGTTGTGCCGCCAATAAAGTGTCATATATGACCAGACGGATGACAGGTGTTTTGGAATTTTAGCCAGTTTGATACGAATCCCTTGAGATGTTTATGCTACGGACTGCAATCTTGGAAAAAAAATGGGGGGGGGGGGGGGGGGGGAGGGGGCAGCACAATTAGAATTCGTTTATTATTCATTATTCTACTGTGTCCGGCGTGATGCTGATGACATCACCCATCTTGTGCCGATTGGTCTATAAAAATATAGGTCTAGCCCTATATGCCCTGTAAAAAATGTATCCCTGTTTGACTCCACTATCAACTCAAACCATCGTCTGTACGCACTGCGCACTATGAATCTCTATATATTACCTTAATAATATTTATTTTGTTCATTGGTATATAAAAGCATTCAAAAATTCCCCATATTGATATTCTGTGTAAACTAACAAAAGCCTTCTTAAAGTCAATGAAATTCAGGTTAACAATTTCCTTTTTTATCCCCGAAACAAATTTATCAAAAATAAGTGTCAGAGTGAATGTCTGATCTTAGCAGTTTCTTCCAGGTCGAAAATCTGTTTGTTCCTCTCTTGAGATTTTGTCTACAACCCAATTAATTCTATTGGTTAATATTTTACAAAAGGTCTGTGACATTATTGCTAACAGTGTAATTCCTCTACAATTGTTACAGCCAGTAAGATTACGTTTCTTTCGAATTGTAACAGTTTTTCATTTCTTCCACTGATCTGGCACAAAAATAGAATACAAAAGAATAATTACCTGCCTACACGAGTCAAGTTGTTGGATCAACTATTTCGCAGACAGATTATTCCCTGAAATTATTTGAGTTGAAATTAATCTATCAAAAATTTAAGGATATCAGATGCAAACAAACCTGAACATGACTGCAGACACGACCAGACCAACAACAGTGACCACTGCAAAAAATCCACCAACACCACGCATAATTTCGGTATGTTCTGAAAATAAAATAGACGACACAGATTAACTCTCATTGGTACTTATTGGGATGAACAAATAACGCGTGGATATACGTTAGCCGATCTTTGATGCCCTAATACTAATTACAAAAAAAGTACTATTCTGGCTTATGAATAGTGGAATTTCTTAACAATCTGGATGAAGCACTAGCCTGGCTTTGAATAGTGGGTTTTAGCAACTATCTAGATGAAGCACTTGTCTTGCTGATGAATAGTGGGATTTCTCAACAATCTGGATGAAGCACTTGTCCGTCTTTTGAATAGTAAAGTAAAGTAAGATCCTTTTTCACGCCTTTTGGCGCATCGGGCATATGGGCAGAGCGTCCCATATTTTTACAGACCATCAGCACTCTGTGGGTAATGTGGTCAGCATTACGCCGGCTGTCTTTACTTTCCCAGGACAGCCCATCCTGGTAGCCATTTTAGGCTGGGTCGACCTGCGACGTCCCATACCACGACAAAAATCCACGCAGCCTCTAGTGGGTTTCGATCGCGGTATGCTGGCTTACGAGTCGGACTCGCAACGCCTTAGCCACGGACGCCGCTCTTATGAATAGTGGAATTTCTCAACAATCTGGAAGAAGCTTAAGTCCGGCTTATGAATAATGGGATTTCTTAACAATCTGGATGAAGCACTTGTCTGGGGGAGAGGGGTTGACTATATCTTAAGCTGCTGGACATCAAGAATAAAACAATGTCTGACTGATGAAAACGTATCTACAACTTCTAACCGTCTTAATCTAGTCTGGCTACAAAAGGCCTATTTAAACTACTGTAAATTATATATAAGACTATAGTCTCACTGACAAAGACTTCGACTTCTCTACACTTTCAGGACATCTCAGGTAAGTTTATCCAAGGGAGACCTTATTACAACACCTGTAAATTATAGACAAGATTCTGGTCTGGCTGACGAAGACTACACAACAACACTTGGAGAACATGGACGAGTCTGGCTGACGAAAACCGTCCCACGATTTCTGAAGGTTATAGACCAGGTTCTAGTCTTCTGGCTGATGAAGCACTGACATTAAGTTCTTGACATACTTAACATGTCGGTTTGAGGAGGACTCGCTACAACTACAGGAAATAGTAGACCAGTCTGAATAATGATGGTCTCTCCACAACTCCTATAAAACCTAGAACAGTTTGACTAATGATGGTATCTCTACAACTCCTATAAAAACTAGACCAGTTTGACTAATGATGGTCTCTCTACAACTCCTATAAAACCTAGACCAGTCTGACTAATGATGGCCTCTCTACAACTCCTATAAAACCTAGACCAGTCTGACTAATGATGGCCTCTCTACATCTTCTATAAAATCTAGACCAGTCTGACTAATGATGGCCTCTCCATAACTCCTATAAAACCTAGACCAGTTTGACTAATGATGGTCTCTCTACAACTCCTAAAAAACCTAAACCTGTCTGACTAACGATGGCCTCTCTACAACTCCTATAAAACCTAGACTAGTCTGACTTACGACGGCCTCTCTATAACTCCTAAAAAACCTAGGCCTGTCTAACGAAGACACTCTGAAACTACTATAAATTCTAGATCAGTCTCTACAACTACTGAAAAAACTTGACTGTTCTGACTTATAAAGACAACTCTACCACTAATAGAAATCCTATATTATATAACAAACTAATACCTCTCTACAACTCACAACTCTTGCAGATTATGGACAAGTCTGTCTAACGAAGACCTCTCCAGCTCTTCATCTCACGTACATCATGAGCCATCAACTTCTCCGTGTGACCCATAAGAAGGTTGACGGGACCTCGAGCAATATCTGCCTACACCTCCTGGGCCTGTCGATAGTTAGGCTGATTAAAGACGACCATGACCCTACTTTAACTCCCGAATCTGGCTGACGAACGGAAAGTCGACGAGACCCTATTTCAACTCCTGAAACTGGCTGACAAACGGAAAGTGGACAAGACCCTATTTTAACTCCTAAACCTGGTTAACGAATAGAAGGTCGACTAAGACCGTATATATGCGGGGCCTCCTGACCAATCTGACTGTCTCAATACACTGTCTCATTGTATTAATAAATAACGATCAACTTACCTTTGTCAGAACATCGATCTCGCATATAACCACATACTGGTTCATCAGCAGGAGAAATTCCATTGTTCAAGGGCCAAGGAAACGGTTTATTTTGGAGAAAAATCAAAGACTTCGTTTCAGAATCCAGCAGTGCGTATTGCTAGGGAGGAAAACAGATTGTGAAAAATCCTATGTGATGAGAGCAATGTAATGTCGATAGTAGTGAATGTAAAAGTCGATAGTAATGAATATAATAGTCGACAGTGATTAATATAATAGAAATAAACATTCAGATTTGTCGAACTTGTTGGGAACTTGGTGGCATTATATCTCCGCCCACTTATTTTTCAAAAATAAAGGGTCTGAAAACAGTGTGTGACCTAAACTTGGGAAAATCATGTGTCGGTGTGTGTGTGTGTGTGTGTGTGTGTGTGTGTGTGTGTGTGTGATTGTGTGTGTGTGTGTGTGTGTGTGTGTGTGTGTCTGTGTGTCTGTCTGTCTGTCTGTCTGTCTGTCTGTCTGTCTGTCTGTCTGTCTGTCTGTCTGTCTGTCTGTCTGTCTGTCTGTCTGTCTGTCTGTCTGTCTGTCTGTCTGTCTGTCTGTCTGTCTGTCTGTCTGTCTGTCTGTCTGTCTGTCTGTCTGTCTGTCTGTCTGTCTGTCTGTCTGTCTGTATGTATGTATGTATGTATGTATGTATGTATGTATGTATGTATGTATGTATGTATGTATGTATGTATGTATGTATGTATGTATGTATGTATGTATGTATGTATGTATGTATGTATGTATGTATGTATGTATGTATGTATGTATGTATGTATGTATGTATGTATGTATGTATGTATGTATGTATGTATGTATGTATGTATGTATGTTGGTGTGTGTGTGTGTATGTATGTATGTGTGTGTGTATGTGTGTGTGTGTGTGTGTGTGTATGTTTGTATCAAGCAATGGATCGCAGACTGTTCCTCCCCACAACGCTTAACGGAAGAAGTGAAAACTGATAATGTTGAATTTTGGAAACTGTACATTCTTAACTTGGGGAAATGCGGTGTCTGCATATATTACTGTTTGATTGATATACTAATTGATTTTCTGTTTCTCAATGAATTTGCTGCATTGTGTTGTTCCTACAGTCTGTCTGATAATATAACTTTGTCTTGGGCGGGCTTTTCTCAAGCATTTTATTTCACAGGTGTTAATTTTATTTATGTAGGTGAATGAATGAATGAATGGATTTCTACCCCACTAGGACATCACACAAGCGATAAACACCCGATGACACAAAGTGCCACCATGTGGGTGAGGATCACTGTGGAGAGGTCCCAGAAACCGCGTTCAGACAATTGGCCATTTTTATGGCCTGCCTATATTGCGGCCCCTGGCAAAAGCCGGAGTGGGGCTTCAAATAACAAAAAAAAAAAAACGTCCTAAAAAGGACGTAAGGATTCTTATAAAGCACTTTTTATGTAGGTTAGCTTTGGATAATGTCTAAGACTGGCACTTGTAGGACAGTGTTGGTATGAATATGCTGTTTATGATCTGTTTATTGGCGCTCATACTTTTCTTTATATGTCCTATTAATGGCGTTAGTTTATATTTAAGTGCACTATTTTTCAAAAGTAACAGATCTAAAACAGTGTGCATCATAAACAATGGCAGTAGCTTATTACCAAATGTTAGAAAATACTCCGTACAGAGTCCCATTTATTACTACCGATTCAAGGGCGATAAAAAATTGGGTTTTGAGGGGGTTAAAATTAAACTATTGCTGTAAGTCTATGTCTATGGTCTTCGCGCTGACTGTTTCGCATGTTACACTAAACTACGTTTTGCCGATAAATGTCTCATAATATGATTTTCATACAATGCAGACGTTCAGTTAAAAGTTATCCGGTTTGAAAAAACAAAAAATTGAAATCGTGTTGCTGAGAGAAAGTATGGTCCGCCTCCTATCGAGAAGACAATCCGACAAAGATACGGAAAGAACAAACACAACTGAGGACGCCACGGAAGAAGATGTAAATAGGCCACAGTTAAAGAGGGAACGAAATATATGCACTAAAGAGCAAAAAACATTTGGGCGTTTATGTGTCCAGTAAGAAAGTTCGGCATGAGACAAGAAGAAATGCTAGCGGGAAAGAAGCTACTGATTTCAAAGGAGGGCAGCAGAACATTTGGGAGGAAGGCGAGGGGAAAACCCAAGAGAGAGAGAGAGAGAGAGAGAGAGAGAGAGAGAGAGAGAGAGAGAGAGAGAGAGAGAGAGAGAGAGAGGGCTAAATGGTGTAGTTTGAACCTGCAAAATGTTTGACCAAATCCATCATCCAAGCCACCTGAGAAACGCAAGACAAAAACAGAAAACTATGGGACAAAGCTCCAATTAAGAACTCCAAACGGGAGCATGCTCAGCAGGGGTCCATCATCATCAGTAGAGATCCTGCGTAGACAGTTGTTTCGGCCCATTGCCTCTCTAAACAATCCCAGAAGGTGGGCCGACCTGGGTGATGAAACCATGCCCTGATCTTTCCCTGCTGCACTTAACTGGACTCGATAGAGACATGACTATATGGTGACTTTCAATAGGCGCTGTGAGATTTGTTCTTATATTGTCACTACGGTAGCGAAATTAGATCTGTTGACCACCTTCAAGATCAGAGTGACACGCTTATGGTTGGTTCATCGGACAATTCTTACACTTTGGCCATTGGCAAAGAGACATCAGCAGACATTTATCGGACACTCTGGCTTTTAAGGGATAAGGGTTCTTTTCCACTAGGGACTCGGTCTCGTTCCGTTGCGTCCAGAGCTGGTTGAAAGATCTTTCAGCAGCTACGCCCAGTTGTTTTATTGACCGTTTACGCTCGTTTCCTCGCAAGCCCAGCTGGTTTAGCACATTGTACAAAGAAATAGAGATAAGACCTGTTGCGCCTACTTCGACGGCGAAGAATTTTACTGTGTACAACTCGTCGCTCCTCAGACCGGTCACGAGATCTCTGTACTTCTCGAGCTTGTGAAAGTGATTTTTGTCTATTAGCGACTCATACGGCACGGTCAGCTCAATCAGGAAGAGCTGGCAATTTTCCGTGGAGTGCAGAACTATGCCTGGTCTCAGTCCGGTCTTCCGGATTGACTCAGGGTACCTTTCGAAACCAGGCAGGTTGACAGCCAGTAACCAGTCCCTCGTACAGTCAAGTATTGATGGAGCGTATGCGACCTTGTTGATTTTGCATTTATAAATCTTGAGAAAGAGTACGGGGATAACGGTAGGACCTGCCCTCGCGATGGCCCTAATCCTAGCTTGGTCCACAACGGTAGCTAACTCTTTTAGGACTTCATTGTGTCGCCAAGTGTATCTTCCCTGGCCTAGGGCCTTTCTGCACGCGGACAATATGTGCTCAAGAGTCTGTTTAACTCTGCACAGTGGGCATGTCGGGTCGGTTGCCGCATGTTATTTTTACCACGTTGACGCCAGACGGTAACACATCGTACGCAATCTTGCGACAAAGCTCAGCCGCAATGGGACCATTCGACAGATCGGTAAATTTTACGCTGCTTTCACCATTTACAGACCCCTACACACTAGCTCGCTTCTGACTGGACGACCTACTGACCACCTCAACACTGATAGGTCGGCCTCGAGCGATCCGATTGTTATACAAGATCACGGGGATATTCCGCACTCGCGCTCATACCGCGTGTTTTATATTTCATCAAGCCAGAGCTTTTAACACTTCTAAAACATTTAGATACTGGGTCTAACACACAACCTCCTAGAGATTGACGAAACCTATGACACAGGACGTCTCTTTGACGAAAAAAAAAAACGTAAACCCAAACAAAAACAGGCTGCGACACCCATAACCTTATCCACGGTAGACTAGGCAAACCATCGTATCAATAGAGTACCTGCTTACAATACAGACCCACATCGGTCACAAAAGGCGGTGCCACAAGCCATTTCCTCATGTCTGTGTTGATTTTACTCTCCATCGCCTCCACTGCATTCATGTTATCTTCGAACACGAGCAGCGACCAGAGGAGCTTTGGAATCAAAATAAACCGGAGAAACTAAACCTTTAACCTCCAGATCAACCTGCATCACTCGATCGCGAACAGACCTGTAAGGACTCATGTTTTCGCCCAGGTCTGCTCTGTTATTAGACGCGGCAGAGGCTCTTCACAGGTTTCTCCAAAACCGCGGGGATCTGTTTCATTGCCACCGTGAAACTAGTTGCCGCCACCTGACCTTTAAGGATTGATACACTTCTTGATTTCAGCGGTTTGAACTGCATGCCACACCATTCGACATCGCGGTCCAACCTTTTTAGAATCGTGCGGGCATCTTCCTCATCTTGATAGCTGTGTCATCAATAAATGCACGTAGTGGCGGCATACAGTGGTCCCCAATCTGAAGGCCTTGCCCGTAGCCCCTTCTAACATGACCTGCATGGCCATAAATAACAGCATCTGTGAGATCGTACATCCTATTGCTATCCAAATAACTGAGCTCCATCTCTCCTAGAATATGGGTACGTATTGTATTAAATATTCTGGTCAGAAGGACGTGAAATAATAGTGCTTTGACAGAGAAGAAGTTAAAGTAACAACTGAATCATAGCGGAGCAATACAACAACTGGGTTAGACAAGTGTATGCGGCAAGTAAAACCCAGAAAACGCACAATGAGTTCATTGTTACCAAACTTACTAATTGTAAAAGCCAATATTCCCTGTGTCGATTCCAGGGAAAACAGAATAGGCCCACTGTCTCACTAACAATCATGTCACAAGAGTTGACTTATTAGAACAGCGGTTCTCAGCCTGTGGGTCGCGACCCTTTTGTGGGTCGAACTACCCTTTCACAGGGGTCGCCAAAGACAATCGGAAAATACATATTTACTGAAGTTATAAAGTATCAACGAAAAAAATATGGTTGGGGTGTGGCCACAAGATGAGGAACTGTATTAAAAGGTCACGGCATTAGGAAGGTTTATGTCATTGAATAAGAGATTGCCTTCAAAGTCCAAGTGCACCAGCCTAGGAAGATAGGAACCAACAGAATGCATACAAATAAGTCAGATTTTTAAAACGGATATGCATGCAACTCTCAGGTTATGGAACAAGACCAAGTTAAGAAGTGGACGAACAACCAAAACCTTTC